GGGTGGCTACAGGGGGGGCGTTAGCCTAAGTCCCGAAACATCGTAAAAACATGATTTTAATATCTAAGGAAACCATAGGAATCTCTCGGGCAATTAATAGGCCATGCGCGCGAGCATCAAGATTTTCTCGAGTGAGATCTCTGGCGTAGGTAAAATCACGTTGCGTCCCATCCGTCGCCGCTTTCGTGAGCTCCTGGACTTCTCGCCGTCTTTCGTGAGCTCCTGGGGTGTCCAGCAGAGTGGGTCCGACCATTATCCAAAAGAGGGCCCCGTGCAGTTTACATGTGACAGTGTAGTAACACGGGCCTTCAGTGCACACGTCTGCGTCACCTCGTTTTGCTTCGTCCTCTTCCGTATCCATTTGGGCCATTAGCGCGCGACGTGGTTCTTTTATCCCCATGCCTTGGGGGGCCGTTTTGGTCGATATTGAACATGTACCCGAGACAACGAACTCATGGCAGAGTGTTTTAGAGACTGCTGGCGGTGTTGACACAGGTTCTTCCGACGATGTGATCGACGAACAGGCCCCTGGGCCAGCATTTGTTGTTGGGCCGCCAGACACGGTTTGCGTGCTCCATGGTGACTCCCACGCCCCAGCCTCACCGCATGTGTGCCTCATTCCAGTTCAGAGATTGGAACTGTCCAGACACGGTTTGCGTTCTGAATGTTTCTCTGGCCCCTTGCAGCGGAAGAAAGATGTGCGACAGGTGTTTCAACGTATCTTCCAGTTCGAGCAGCCAGTGCAGCCAGTCGCAGCGCAGCCAGTTGCAGTCGAGCCGTTGGCGATCACAGATGCTGTTCAAGATAAGGACGGCGATGAAACGCTCGCTCTTTCACCCGACGCGGCCCCTCCAGCTCACCGAGAGGATTCCCGTAGGAACACGTTTGCCGCGAACGTTCAGGAGCGCATAAGTGTGATTCTGGAGAGGGCCGCTGCATTTGCTGATAAATTGCCACCTTCGAAAATCCCATTAGCAGATGAGTCTTGGAAAGAACTGTTGAATGGTGTTCTTTCTCCGCAGCGCACGCACGTCATTAGCGCAGACGCTCTGGCTGACCAATTTTCGGATGACCGTCGTAACGTTTCAGACATAATTGAGACGACAGCCTGCGCGTGGACCATTATGTATCGTCGGGAAGCCCATCGCATGTTGAATAGTTTCGCAGACATCATCATCGAGAAGGGAGGTACACTGTTGATTTTTACCGATGTGGTCATGTACGGCAGCACGCCCCTGAAGACAACAGTTCGAGACATGGAGACGTTGGAGCCAGCCCCCCCCCCCAGTAATTGAGGACACTGCCACAGACGAGGTTCAGATCGCACGCAGAGCAAATGGTTGGTTCACAATGTACACAGCGCAAGGGGCAACATACAAACTATGGCAAACATCTCGAAGCTGCACTGCGCTCGCCGAGGTGAGCGGCGTCTTCGTTCGCATTCACGTTCGGATACCGTTGTGGTTGCAGGCCGTTGCTCGTGGGACTGGAGAAGCTTACTATGGCGCAGTGAAGGCGTCGGACCCACAGTTTGGTGATATATCATCGAGGTTCAACCGTATTCAACGCTTGGTGTGCACGGATGCAGATGGGGCGGTCGAGAGATGCGAACGGAAGTTTGGACTCACCGTTGCGAGTTTGAGGTCGAAGTGCGAGGTGCATGCCGTCAGTGCGATGAGTAAAACAACCGCTGTTCCTTTGGAGCCAAGCGTCAGCAGTTGCGTGAACTTCAGTTTGTGCCTCGCAGCGGGTGCCACGATGCAATCATTTCGGTCATGCGTTCGGGAAGTTCTTTCACCGCGATTCTACTACCGCCGAGGCGTGCCACGCCAAGATGATTTGCTGCATGATCAAGTTATGTTGGACGCATTCTGCAGTGGACGTGAGATGTCTGAGCAGCGCCGCCGCTCGATGTTGCTGGGGATGCTCAGCGCCAGGTGGGACAACCACTGTATCGTGCACGTCTGCAACGGATGTTGCAGTTGGCGTGCGGCTGCCTTGAAGAAGGCGTGCGCTGTGATGAGTTCGATGGTCTTCAGTTGCGAGCCGCCGACGTGGCCGCGGCACAAATGGCTAGGCGCATGCATAGCGCTAGCTTGGATTTGTCTTGCTTTATCTGTGCGCCCGCCGCTCTTCAAGGACGCGTTCCTCAAGTGCGCCGAGAATCAGCCAGGCGGCGCTCAATGCGTCGCCCGAGCTCGCCGGGCTCTCGCGTGCAGGGGCTCGCTGTTGTCAAGCGTCTGCATGATGGCCAGCAAGTACCGCTATGGTTTCGCAGAGATTGTCGGAAAAGGTCCCAGTGTGATGGGGGGGGGCCCGAGCAGGCCATCGAACACTTCGGGCTTTCCGCTGAGGACGTGCGCAAGGACGAGATCGGCAAGAAAGGGGGGTCTACACAAACGAGCTTGTTTGTTGCCATTCGTTGGTTCGTTCTTGGCCACCCGCTGCCAGCGATGATATGCTTGAAGAGCGTGCTGCTACCCTTTGAGGACATGCAGACTGATTATATCCGAACTTCCAGCGTCTCTTGGGATCGCACGCAGCTTCGGTCGGCAGCAGAAGGGAAAGGCCGCGAGTATCGCATGCTGCGCCAGGCACTCCACAGGAGTACTACGCCGTGCATGGACAAGATCTGGGGGCTCTTTGGTGTCAGCGATCGTCGCATTCCTCGCCGCGTGCCCGACGTCGTTCTTCGAGCTTGCGCAGGCGACGCAGCGCTGGTTCATCGGCAGATATGGGAGCACCTTCCCACCATCGAGCAGATCTTCTCGGAGTTCGCAGAGGTGGCGGGTCTCCGGCTCAATATCGCCAAGACCGTGCTCGTTCCGCTTTTGGGGCTCTATCTTGCGCTGGCGCGCAGCAGATTGGCTGCCGTGGCCCCCGACTGGGCCGGGCTAGAGGTCAGCGGCTATGCCAAGCACTTGGGCTTTGTCATAGGGCCAGGGCGAGGGTCTTTAGGGCGTGGGGCGGAGCGTTGACCAAGCTCTTGGAGAGGGCGAAGCCTTGGGGAAAACTCGGGGTGGGTTCGTTGTTTTCGCTAGGTGCGTATCGAGTGTTTACTGGTTTTGTGGTCATGTTCTGCGCGCAATTGGATTTTGCTGCCCGAGAGGTCCGCCGCTTGCGAGAAGGCCGCGGCGCAGGCTCTGTTTCCAGGCCTTTGGGGTTGGATGCCGCCGGAGATGGTCAAATCCCGAAAGATCTCTGCTTTCCCCAAAGAGCTGATGGGCGCGGCGGCAGCGGCGCGCGCAGCGCGCGCCCGCGTCGCGTGGCACGAGGACCCCCGGAACGGGGGGCTTGCGGTGAGCAGGCGTGCGCGCGCTCTTCGACTCGTTTTGGCCCAGGAGGATAACGCTCCGAGGGTCCTCAGCCGGGGCCCGTGGGCGACAGACTGCTTCATCCTCAACTTCGATGCTGCGCTGGGCGAGGCCCGGGCGTTTTTCGGCGACGATCCCAGCATCTTGGACGTAGCTCGCCCACGGTGCAACCGGGTTGGCTGGCTGGCGGCGGTCGCCCGCCGATTTCGTGCACCTCGCGAACTGGATGCTCGGCGGTCTCTTTGTAAATGTTTGGGTCATTGGGTCGTTCCTGTTCTGCCAGGGCGGCGAGTTGAGCGGTGGTTGCGTCTAGCCACCAGCGTGTCGGAGCAGGCCCCGCCCAGGGTCCTCGCTGCGCGGGCCTGCGCGGCACTCGGCGGGTGGACGACGTCCTCGCGTTTTCAAAGCCGCGGAGTTTGTTGCTTGGGCTGTGGCAGCGAGGACAGCATCGGGCACTATGCTCATTGCGCCGCCTTCCACGTTCTCTGCCGGAAGCACTTTGGCTTACGTCGCCCTGCGGCGGGCTTGGAGATCGCGGAGTGCATCGGTCTCGAGCCGGGCGTGGCTGAATACAACGGCAGCCCGACGAACGAGGAGTGCCAGGCTTTGGGGGCAGCGTCGGTGCATGCCGTTTCCCGCGCGCACGGCGCTGTCCGCCACGGCCTTTCGAGCAGTGCCGGCTCCGAGGCCTTCGCCGGTTACGTCCGCGAAGCGGTCCGCGGCCGCGGCAGGTTGGCAGGGCTCGTCCAGCGCGCGCACAATCGCGCGCGGCGGCAGTATATCATTCCCGTTCCCTTTCTGTTCCCTCGCTGCCCCTTCCTCCGTCCAAACTCGTGGCCTTTCTATTTCCCGCGGCGGCCGTTCAGGTCGCCTCCAGGTCATTCTGTCTATTCGTAGCTTGCCTCTCTGTCTCTCCCGGCTCTCGCCGGTCAGCCATTCTGGTTGCATTTGGGACTGTAGTCTCTTTAGTTCTTGCTGTTCTAGGCTGCCCGCCCGCTTCGAGATGATACGAATACGGGCCCTTTTTGCGTAATTTTCTTATCCCTCTCTTCTCGTCTTCTTCCCCCTCTCCTCCTCCTCCTCCTCCTCCTCCTCCTCCTCCTCCTCCTCCTCCTCCTCCTCCTCGTCCTCCTCCTGTGCAGCAGTGGTGCGTTTTATGTGGGAATTAGTATCGCCTGCTGTTCGCACCAGCATCGGTCCGCATCGCGCGCGGACGGCGGGGTATGAGCACATTTTGTTGGGAAAGTGTCCTCCTAAGCTGTGGCGAAGGCCAGCGCGACGGGTTGTTTTCGCTTGTGCATTCTGCAGCTGGCGTGCGTAGTGTTCTGGTGGATGTCATCAGTTGTTAACTGTTCATTACCATTGTTGCGTTGGAACAAAAATTCGCCAACCAATGCCAAGCATCGAATACATCCAAAGTTAAGCAATGCGATGCTACAGGTGCACTTCACCCGCCACCTCCTTCCATTCGTCCTCTGGTAGCTGGTAGCCCAGCGCTCCTCCTCCAAGGGGGGACGGCCACGACGACCGACGACGACGACGAGGCCCGACGTCGACCGAAGTCCGACGATAACGTCCCACGACGATTGCCGAGTGGTCGCTCCCTCTTCCAAGCAAGGGGCATCCGCCGACGGGCCATTGTTGACAGGAGTTGGAACGACGGCGAAAACGAAATTGCGATTCTGCAGGTCCAACAACGACGTCCCGCGACGAATCTGAGTAGCCGTTACCCTCTTTTTGGACCTCCTCGTCCGACGATGACGTCCCACGATGATCGCCGCGGAGTGGCTGTTCCCTCCTCCTAGGGGCCTCGGCCCCCCGATGCCGGCTGGCGCTGGCCCTGCGGGAGCGCCCATGCCGCCGCCGCCGCGGCCGGGCGCGCCCTGCCTTGTGCCGCGAGCGCCCTGGCCAGCTGACGCTGCCGTTGCGCCCCGCGGTGGCTGCGCCGCTCCCTGCCTTGGCACGGCCGCGCCGCGCGCCGCCGCGACCGTCCCGCGCAGCGCGCTGGCCAAGGGAGTGCTGGGCTCGCGGGCCGCCGGCGGGGGGGCCGCGCGCCAGCGCGGCGCGCCCGCCGGGGCGGTGGCGGCGGCGGCGCCGAGCCCAGGCGCTATGACCGCGGTCCTTGCGAGGTCCGGGGCGCCCCGCAGTCGCTGATTTCCGCGGATGAGATCGGGTTCATTCCGGGCCGTGTTTCCGTGGTTTCGATTGCGTGGGGGCCGCTATCAGGCCCTGGGGCCATCACACATGGATCTCAGACTTATATAGTATATCCTGGGTCACCACTTGGGCCGCGAATCAACGCGGACGGATCAACGCGGACCCCCGCCCCCCCATCTTCCCCTATCCATTCACGGCCAGATCTGAGTTGTTTTTGGCGGCTGCTTTTGGCGACTGGTCAGGACCCCTCTCCCCCGGTCTGCTTGCGCGACTGGTAAAAGCAGATCGAGCCCAGACCAAGACCCCCCCCCTTCCCCGCCCTTCGGCCAAATGCCGAAACTCAGAATAAGAAACGCTGACCATTGAACACCATCACGTGGTTGGTTGTCTGGGGTCTTCTCTTCACCGGGCGTGTTCGCCCAGGTTCGTGGCCCTGGCGCGTTCGCGGTTCGGTCCAGCTCGAGGCATATGCTGCAGAGAGGTTTTGGGCCTCCCAGATGGGGCTGGTGCAGATTGGCCCTGAGCACCCAGCTCTCCGAGGATACTTTTTTGTTTCAATCCCGGCGTTTTCCTCGATTGCGAAGGCCTTGCGGCCGGTGCCGCCGACCCTGGAGGCCTTGGCACTCGACGGAAATGGGAGGGAGTGGGCGGGCCAGGAGGGTGGTATTCTGATTCGGGACCGCCCCCCTTCCGCGGGAAGGGATCCAAGGGAAGGGGCTTGAGGACGAGGGCCCAAGGAAAGGGGGAGCGGCGACTGACTCAGGGGAAGGAGGGGACGTGATGGCGGCGGCGACGCGACGGCGGCAGCGATGGCGATGACGACGGAACAGCCCCCTGTCACACGCCGACAGGGTCGGCAGATTTCATCTGCTGAGGTCGCCACTGGACCTGGGGCCACCAAAAATGGGTCTGGAGCGAAAATCGGACCCTTGGGAAGGGGTCGGGAGTTCTGGCCCCGTTTTTGCGAGATTCTCCGACGAGGCGTGATGAGTCGCGATCCTCCGACCCTATTTGCCCAGGCCCTGTTATGGAGGCCTGCCTGGGGCTCTGGCCGTGATACCCGACGATGTTGCAGCGTTTCGCAGCGTCGGATCTCAGGGCCGTTTTGCCAGGTCTGGTTTATTGTCCCGTTCAAAGGGTTGTGGAAAGCGGAGTGTTGTGGGTTCGAGCAGCGGCGGCGAGCCGCCGCCGCCAGTGAGGTTGAAGGCCGCCGGCCGCATGATTTGAGCCAGTGCCGAGAGACCTCTGCAGTCAGACAGCGGATCTTGCTCAAGGTTGATCCATCTGGATCTACGCGGTGTCAGGGACCAGGGCCCACGTCACGGCACGAACCAGCAGTAATCGGTTCGTATCCTGTTTATCTTCTTCCCTCTCTTGTTCTTCCCCTCCCTCCTCCCCTCCGCCTTAGTTTTCATATGCCACGCTTGCCCGGGCCCCTGGGGCGGCACACCCGACTTGAGATGGCCAAGGGGGCCCTGGAATCGACAGACGGAGCCTGCAGCTGCGCAGATGCGCAGCAACAGCCAGGACGACAGTCAGCTCGCTGCTTCCCAGTGTTCCCATTTTGGGGGGTTGAGAGGACCGTTTGGCGGGTTCCCGGCCTCCCTGGCACACTGGGACCGCGGGGCCATGCTCGGTTCGTTGGGGCTCGCCTTCCTCGTGCTCAACAGGCGCAGGCTCCGCAGGATGCTGAAGCCGCCCAGCGCCAGTCGGCTCTCCTGGGCGACCCCGCTGTGGGCGGCGCTCTGGACCTTGACGGTATCCGATACTAGCTTGAAGAAGGAAAGCTTGCATGAACAGAGACCTTCGTAGTTCTGCGCGTTTTTCTTAGATCGGCTGTGGGCCCCCCTGGCGGCGCCTCCGGCGCCGCCCCCGGCGGGCTCCGCGCGCCAGGGGGGGGGGTCCAGCGCCAATCCGAGAAATCCGCGCATCCCGCAGTTGCGGGTAAGAGTGAGGGGGCGGGCGCGGGGTGGGTCGCGGGTGGCTCGCGGGCGGGCCGCGGGTGGGTCGCGGGTTGTGTCGCGGGTGGGTTGCGGGTTGGTCGCGGTTGGGTCGTGGGCGGGTCGCGGGTGGATCGCGGGTGGGTCGCGGGAGGGTCGTGCGAGGATCGCGGGTTGGTCGCGGGTGGGTCGCGGGTGGGCCGCGGGTGGGTCGCCGGCTTGGTCGCGAGTGGCACGACGACGACGACGACGACGACAGCCAACAACAACAACAACAACAACAACAACAACAACAACAACAACATCAACAACAACAACAATAATTGCAACAATAATAACAACCAGGCTCATGTTCATATTGTTCGTCCTGTCAATTCACGTGCCAATTAAGATGTATATCCCACGCCCTCGGTACCCGCGTTCGTCGTCTTCGATCGTACCCCGTTGGAGATCCTTACCTGCCACGCGCATGTAGTGCAGCCCCTGAAGCGAGGGAAGGGAGGACGGGTGGAAAGGGGGAGAGGGAAGAACAGAACACGAGAGAAGTTAGTAGGATGGGGTCAAGGAGCAGACAACAAATGATATAACCAGACGGTCAAATCGGGTGGGCAGACCCATAGCGGGCAGGTCGGGAAAGCGGGCCTAGGCGACGAGGTCGAGCAGGCGTGTTGCTGAAACGTGGATCTTGCATGAATCGCGAGGAAGTCTCGAGCGACAGCGCGATTCCCAAGTAAATCTCGAGAGAAGCTAAAGCGAGAGCGTGATTCCTGAACGCCGAGGGCGCATCGTCTGAATATATTGATAGGATGTCCAACGCGGAAGCGCGATGCGCACATGAATTGTGAGGAAGTCCCGCGCGAAAGTGTGATTTGGGAATTAATTGTGAGGAAGTATCGGGCGGGAGCCGTTGATGTTGTAACTCGGGGGCCAGGGTGCCAGTTTGAGCCCAGCGGTCATAAAAAAGCAGCGTGCGAGCCACGGGGGAGCACTTTAATGGAAAAAACACAAGGGTCACCGGAGGGGGGATCAATCATATGTTCTTCAGTAGTGCGAGTTCAACATCAACAACAATCAGTTTAGGATTGTTCGCTTTGGCCTGCTCGACGGTCAGTCAACTTCTATTTCTCAAACCCTCGGTACCCACCCTCTTCGTTTTCGATCGTGCCCCTCGTAGGGGGGGTCTATTTTTCTCCCCTGCAGGCCGAGTCCTGGCAAGCGGCGGGGCGGCTGCGGACCGTCATCTGGACAGCGGCAACGTTGATCGGCGGCAGCCCGAACCTCAAGAGGGACGGACAGGAGACCGACCACGACACGACGACGACGACGACGACGACGACGACGACGACGACGACGACGACGACGACGACTATGACGACGGCGCTGACGACGAGTACGACGACGACGAACGAAACCGAGAGCGAAAGTGAGCACGAGAGGGACAGCGGGGCCACGAAGGGCAGGAAGGGGATTACGAAGGGCTACGAAGGGCATGCGCACGGGGCCGCGAAGGGCGCGAACGGGAGGGAACCACGAATGGTAGATAATGCGGGACCACAGAGGGTAACGACGGGGCCACTGAGGGCAGCGACTGGGCCACGTGGGACAGCGATGCAGGCGACACAGGGCGACGGCGAAGCGACGAAGGGCATGCGCATGGGGCCACGACGGGCGCGAACGAGCGGGGGCCACGAAATGCATGCGTAGATGCAAGGGCGGGGCCACAGAGGGCAGCAGCGGGGCCACGAAGGGCAGTGAGGGGGCCGCGAAGGGCGACGGCGGGGCCACGAAGGGCACGCGTATGGGGCTATGACGGGCGCGAACGAGCGGGGGCCACGAAATGCATTTTTTGGGGGGGGGCACGTAGGGCAGCGAGGGGGCCACGAAAGGCTGCAACTGGGCCACGAAGGGCTGCAACGGGGCCACGAAAGGGCAGCGAGTGGGCACGAAGGGCTGCAACGGGGCCACGAAGGGTCGCAACGGGTCCACGAGGGGCAGGGAGGGGGCACGAAGGGCTGCACCAGGGCCACGAAGGGCTGCAACGGGGCCACGAAGGGTCGCAACGGGCCCACGAAGGGCAGCGAGGGGGCCACGAACGGATGCAACGGGGCCACGACGGGCAGCAATGTGGCAATTCTTAACTGAATTGAGAGGGCGCCTTAAGCGTGAGCGCGACTCCTGTGTGACTGAGTGTCGGGAGCGTGGTGCTTACGTGAATTGCGAGGCCCACGCCAGATCGCGATTACCGAGTAACTTGCAAACGAGTCTCCAGCGAGAGAGCGATTCCAGAGCGTCGAGAGAGCGATTATTGTATACGTGGCTAGGTCGTCCAAAGCAAGAGCGCGACCCTTGAATTAAAACGCGAGGGAGTGGGGCGGGGGTCCTGGCGAAATTGGTGAGGATGCCGCAGGCGGAGGTCATTGTTGCTGTGGTCCGGGGGCCAGGGGCGCAGTTTGAGTCTATTCTGTTTTCTTTCGAAAGCAGGGCGCGATCCTTGGGGGGGGGCATTCCAATTGAACAACGCAATGTTCACTGGATGGGGGGGGGTCAACAATACTGATTTTCAAGACTGTTCGTTCTGATCTGCTCGAGTGCCATTCATCGCGTATTCCCAAGCCCTCGGCACCCGCCCTGTTCGTCTTCGATCGCACCCCTTTCGGGGGGCATGTCTTTTGCTTGCCAGATAATCCACTGGAATGTAGAGAGGGCGCCGTGGTCCACATTCAGACGATATGATATTATCCGTAGTTTGTGTTGCTCGAACTGTTTCTCGCGCGTGATTGTCCTTCCCGCGACGCGCCCATGTCCTGGTCGTGGCGGTTTGGAGCCTCTTAGTGGGAAACGAGAAGCAGACGCAGATGCAGGCCCCACAGCCTTCGCACGTGGATGTGGAGGTCAACCCCGCTGGCGTTTGCAACTGCGCTTGTGCTCGTGAACTTAGGGGCTTGGTGGCAACGGAGCAGTCGGTGAGACGTCCACCGAGATTCACCGCCAAAGCCGCCTGCCAGCCGAGTCCCCCTCTTGCGTCACTCTGGCCTGTGAGGCCCACCGCTCGCGTTGTTCGCTGTTCACCCTGTGGGCCTGCATTGGCAATGGCGTGGCCTGGCGCCGCCGCTCCGATGGCGCCGCCGCTCGCAGTCGCGCCGCCTTCGGCAGCAGCCCTGCCCCTTCCGCGCGCGCCTGGATGCATTGCCGCAGCCGACAAGCGAGGGCCCACGTAGATGGCCTCGCCATTTGGTCGACTTCATGGGGGGGGGGGGGGCGTTCTCACATGAGTGTTCGATGATTAAGACGCATCCAGATGGGGGGCCGGCCTGGGCCCTGATCCCAGACGACGACGCGTGCGAGGCGGACCTCATGAGCGATCCCGACATTGTGAATGTCGCGTTCCTGGGCCCTCCTGGCAGCCCACCTGCGCCCCCATGCCAGCGGGTGCACGCCTTCGGGGGTTCGCCTCCGCAGGCGGCCTTTCAGGCGGCGGTAGCAAACGCGGATGCCCAGACGCAGCTGCTGGGCGGGGGCCAGGTCGCCGGGGGGCCGCTTCCACTGGCTGGGGGCATGGGCGGCCCAGGCGCGGGCTTGCGTCTCTTGGCGGGGCCTCGTGGGAGCTGGAAGGTCGGAGATGAGGCTCCTGCCGCGCCCGTTGGGCCTCTCCAGTCGACGAAGGCGGCGGCCGCGCGCGTGTTGGGCTCGGGGTCTTCTGCGCCAGGGCATGTGGAGCAGTGGGGCGAGTCGCCTCTCGGAGGGTTGCCAGCTTCCGTGGGGAGGATACGGATTTGCACGACTCGGAGGTCGGCGAGTGCCACATTATGATGCCGGCGTTCAAGCTCGGGGTGCGCCACCGCGAATTCGGCGACGGAGGCTTGGAGATGTTCGAGGAGCCTGAGTTCGGCGGCTTCCCGAAGGGCCCGTGGATCACGCTCGACGCGGCTACCGCGCCCCACTTGGAAGGCCTCAGGTGGCAGATGCAGGTTCGAGAGTGGCCAGTCGCAGCTCTCGCCCCTCCAGGGGATCTTTCGGCGCGCGAGTGCCAGCTGGCCCGCGGGGTGCTTTTTCGGTGCGCAGTGGGTCGATCAGTGCGCCATCTCAAACCTCGCGGGCGCGGAGCTGTTCGCGATGCGCCAGAGTGTGCAGGAAGAGGCTCACGCCTTGTTGCCCAGCACCCCAGACAACAACGCTGCAGACATCATCATGGGCTGGGCCGAGAGTCGCGGGGCGGGGGGCACCCCGGACACGTTCGCGAGCCACGCCGCCAACAGGTCGAAAGACAGGGCCTCGGTCATGAAGGAGAAGAGGGAGGCCATCGACGAGCCCAGGCTCGGGGGCAAAGGCACGCCCGAGATGCGCGACAGGCGGCGAGAGCTAGGGGGCGTGGACAGCCCCTTTCTCGCGGCATCTGCTATGGTGCCCAGTTCGACCTCGCGCTTGCGTGATGGTCGGGCTTCGCTCCGCCCCTCGAGACCTATTCCCTCTACCAGTGCCTGACGTTTGGTCGACGGCCTCTTGGCCGAGGCATAGTTGCAGGAGGCTACAGCAGCGCTTCGATCGCAATAGGGCAGTTTTGAGCCGCACCATCGACTCCGTTGAGGCGCCTAATTGGTTGCATTGCGGTCGCCAGCCACCCGCTTCCACGCGCCCCGCCCTTTCTCAGGCCACGGCGCTCCAACGCCTTCTGGGCGTTCATCGGGCCGGCGTCCAGGAGAGTTTCAATGCCGAGGCAGCCCGCTTGGAGTTGTTCGGCGCAGGCCAGGGCCACGAAGGTGGCCCTGAGCTACCCATCGCAAGTTACGGCAAGGATCTGCTCCCTTTGCCACTCCTGGGGGCAGAGCCC